TTACCTTTGATGTGGGTGTCCTCTGGGTTACCATGGCACACCACCCGGGGTGAACCCCGATCATATGCATGGAGGCCTACGCCTCAACTTTACCACTGATTACTACAGACATATATGGATGTTTAACCCTTAACTATGGATGTTTAACTTTGGAATAAAAGGGAATCATGACATGTTGCACATCTCATGTGTCTTTAAGGGGTTAAACACTGCCTGTCAGTTTTACATTAAAGCAACAGTACCATGCCGGATGCGATTTGATGGCAGGATCACTAAGAAAATTGAGTGTATTGCGGTGTAACCTTCACAGGGATACATATATGTATATTTTCTGTGCCTAGTGTACATATGGAACGTGGGTGTCCTCTGGGTAATTTTTCATGACACACCACCTGGGATGACTCCCAGATATGCATGCAATGCTTGTAAGGTGCCAATAAGTATAATATGGGTGTCCTCTGGGTTACCATGGCACACCACCTGGGATGAACCCAGCCTAATAGACATGGGTCCTGCGGCTGCAGACCTTATGGAGACAGGCCCCATGCGCCTATATAGTAAGCCTGTGTAGTTAAAACCCTGCATACAGCTCTGGCGTACATTTGTGGTGAACCCGGCTAGCCAGACCGACACCACTACCAGGCAGTCGCGCCTGCACCACGGCTCTCAGTAGCCAGATTAAACTAATAGAGGTGACCCCTCTTTTTACCTGGGTGATCCCCAGTTCTACCAGGAGTCTAACACCCCTACGTGCTGACCCCCACACTATCTCCCAACAGGACGGGAACGAGTCATGGTGGACACTCTCAACGTTCCCAAGATTTCGAGACAATGATAAACGCCACAGTAACGGCCTCAGTGGAGAAGGTTCTGTTATGAACTCTACCCCACACCGCTTGATGGAGACCTCAGGCCCACAAGCCTTCAAGTCAAAACGGCAAGGGAAGGGCTCCAGCCCCCCTGCCACTAAGGTCAAGGGCAAGATGCCCATCGAACAGACCAAATAGGCGGAACACCGGGAATCCAAACCCCGTCCGCCACAATCTTCCGACAAAAAAGACTATTACCCACCACGTACTTTGGACATGGTAGATGAGCGACACGAAGACAGCTCACCGCCTGAGGAAATGGAACGGCAAGACCTTCCCCACACTTCCTCGAAGTACGTTAGGGAAACCTTACTCTGTGACGGCGGCTGAGGCAGAGATAACTGTAGCGGCACTAAACCAGAGTAGCCGAAGACGGAACGTTCCTGGACGAACACTATTGGCTGCACAACCCTCGGGGGATGGAAGGATGCGCACACCTCAAGACCGAGTTGCCCCAGGGTACACAACTCAACCCTACCACCTCCAAAGAATGGTCTCAATGCTCGATATGCCTCCTGGGCAACGTAAATGACGCACTATGCGCCGACAGACGCAAATCTGTACTGGGCCGCATCGACAACACACTATTGGACCTAGGAACGACAAGTATTCGGCCCAAAAGCACAAGGCCTACTATTCGACGTAGTGTTCATTGCAGTACTCAAAAAACACGTGAATTTATTCACCACACTAAACCCAGACCTCGCTAAAACAAGTCTGAACCCATCCGCTTCATCTACTAGTGTGTCAACCTACATAACTAACTGTTTCCAATATTATGACCGGCAACCTGTCTCTGTTTTACAGAATTGGGAGACGACTACCAAAGTCACCTGGGTTCTCCAGACAGTACAAGGTTATGTCATAGAGTTTTATCACAGCCGTACAGGTCGCCCCTTCACCTCCATTACGCACGCTGGCGGAACAGGAACGCCTCGTGGACAAGAAAATCTGCACCCTCTTCAGGAGGTGCGCAATTCAACACGCAACGGAGGGGAAGGCTTCCCCAACAAATTTTTCCTGGTCAAGAAGAAGCCAGGAGACTACATCAATGGAACTCCTACATGGTATAAAAATGCTGCAAGATGGAGGAAATTCGTCTTCTACAAGACCTCCTAGGCGATAACGACTGGTTTACACATCTAGACCTCAAGGACGCACGCTTGTCGGTACCCGTTGCCCTGGACTGCCGAAGTTTTCCTCCGATCCCGATGGTGAGGACAAACACGGCAGTTTACGACTCCGTGGTGCTCGCGAACCTACTGTAACCAGTGAGGGCACACATCCGCAAATTTGGGCGTGCGATGCCTCGTATACCTGGAAGACTTGCTGATTCTTTACGAATCCAGACTACATTTGCAGACAGATTTGTCGTTCACTTTCGGGACTCCAGGGATTTTTTGTTGTACACAGACAAAGATCGCTTCTCCATCTGAATCGGGCCAGTTCCTCAGTTTCGACATCGGCTTGGAGAACTATGTTCCGCGTCAGTCTACGGCAAAGAGCGCCTCTATAAGGATAACTGTCGGATTGTGGGATTCCTCTCCTCCTCTCCTCCTCCATACAAGCGTTATTCCCTGGCCCACTACGACTGATGGTGAGATACGTACGCACCGCTCACTCATATGACCACTGGATCCCACTGTCGGCGGAAGTGAGGATGGAATTTCGATGGTGATTACTTCACATACAAACTTGGATTGGCAAAACGATCTTTGACTCTTCCTTCGGATACGGGGCGATGGATGAACCCCTGCAAACGCGACCCAGCCGTTTCTCCACAATAGCAAAGGTGCTTCAATACACACACACACTCACAAGATATCGCTCCTGCTCATGACACCCCTCGGGCAGGGCCAACCGTGATTTCCCGGATCGCCTGGAGATGTCTCGCGAAGACCCTCTACTACTCCCTACCTTCCCTCTACTTCTGACGGGACCTCGAGGGGAAGCCCACTCCCTTGTCATGGAAGGACAACTGGCACTAGTTGCCTGGACGGCTTCAGGGGCTCCTGGTCAGATCACGACCTATTGCATCAACTAAGACCTCCTATGGGACTCATAGGCTCCCGGCACCAGGAAAGGCTATATTTCTGCCTGGTCGGCCTGGAGTGATTGGTGTGTGGAAAGGGATTCCGATCCCTTTACCGCACCTGTCCCACTGATCCCCAACTATCTGTCACACCTGGTCTCGTTGGTCGGTCATATCGATCCCTCAACGTGATCAGATCCGCCATGTCGGCGGCGCACGTTCCGGTACAGGGCAGACCAGTAGGTCAAGATACACTGGTTTGTCGACTACTGCGGGGTGCCGAATTGTCGAGATCCCTGCACCCAAATATTCACGCCTCTGGCAGGTGGATGTGGTGCCGAGATTCCTTAGGGAATGGCCGGACAATCCTTGTTGGTCACTGAAGCAACTTTCAGCCAAACTAGCCTTCTTATTATGCCTCGCCTCATTTAGACGGTGGCGGACGTTAGGGCTTGCGATATGGATGGTTTCTCTCTCACACCAGACGGGGTTACCTTTACCATGTCGAGACAAACTAAGTCTGATTCGTCTTCAGTGTCATACCCATGCTTTGTGTCAGACGCCACACTATGCGTGGTCAGAACGCTAATGGGGTACACCAATATCTCTACCCCCTTCGAACTCACTCGACGGATCACCTTCTGACTTCTTACGTAAACCCTCATGGACCGCTGTCTACCGCAACACTGGCCAGATGGGTCCGCGGGGTTTTGTCTTTAGCGTCGAACCTTGTTTCGGAGCCCACTCGGTCAGGGGAGCAGCGGCCTCACAAACCTTTTCGGCCGACGCTTCCCTAGCCGACATTATACGCTGCGCGGACTGAGCGCGAGAGAGTACGTTTAGAACGTTCTATTTTCGGCAAACATCTCATGCTTCCTTCACATTGGTCAATTCAAAGCTTTAAAAATGCAAATATGAAGCCTCCTGTCATGTGGTAAAATTGAAGATTATACTAGCTTTAGTGTACTAATAATCTTAATTTTAGTAATGACAGGAGGCGAATATTTCCCACCCTGTAGAATCCCTCCCATGTTCCTCGTATTGAACAGAATATGTCCTTTATGTTCAGGAAGGTAAGTACGTATGGTTTGTATGTTTGCTACTTAGACCTGTATCTTGTGGGTCTTGTATTGGCTGAATATTAGACGTGAACCTTGCATTATGTTGTGTTTATAGATTCTTAAATATCATTGCGTTAGAATAAATATATATTGATATGTTTCACACTCTAATGTTCGCTGGTATGTCAGATGCTTAATGCTTATTGTATGCGGACAAGTTATCACGCCAGATACCTTTCACCTTTTTCTTTTTCTTGCAGCGTGAACGTCTTCTCATCGTGACAAAGATTCACCTTCTATACCTCTGCATCGCGGAACTAGTGGAGTTGGATATTCTAATATGTTGTTGAACTGTTGACGTAATATGATTATGTCTCCTATTGCTATTTATTGTTTCGCTTCAAAGAAAGAGGAAGTGATGTCATAGACAGGGCCTTTTATGGGCATTATATCTTTTTTCTGATTGGTTGTTTATGTTACTATGCTGCTGGAGTTTTGAGTAAAGAAAGATATGCAAATATTCGCCTCCTGTCATTACTAAAATTAAGATTATTAGTACACTAAAGCTAGTATAATCTTCAATTGTATGGGGGTGTTTACTCCAAGATGGGGGTATTTATTCCAAGATGGGACTCTCTGGACCAAACCACAGGGAGCAGTATTTTTATTTTTTAGAGAAACAAAGGGTGTTATTTATTAAAGTGTTTATGTATAGTTCTGTCAAATTTGTGGAGCAATTTATTAAATCTGCTAGATTTTTTTAAAAGTGTTTTTGTTCTCTTTTTCTTCTGTAATACACAATAATGAACACTGTGACCGTTTTAGCTCGCGTTTGGAACACTTTGATTCATACCATCTGAATAATGATACAATGTAACCGTCACGTTCCAGGTCCCCAGATAATCCATTTCTCAGTAATTCCCTGTATTTGTAACTGATGGTTTATATTCTGCTAATAGCACTGCTAATGCTGACAGCGGGTCTGTGTAATCCGCACCCAGCCCTGCCTTGCAGCAGCCACCAGCACCACGGACAGGACTCAGGGCAGGCCCCGCCCCCTGCGCTGACTGACAGCACTGGTACCCTGGAAGGAGGGGGTGATGGTTAGAATGCGGGTGTATCCACGGCAACCGCGTCACGTGTGAAGTGTGTCGGACTGTCACCGGGCAGAGAGGTGGCGCAGTGTCTCCTCCGCCATCATCCTGATCCCCAGTATCTGCAGCCCGCACACGCCATGCTCGCCGCCCGCTGACCCCCGGCTCCTCCCCGGAATTGCAGCACGGTGAGCTGTGTGTGACCGCGGCCGAGCCGAGCTCCCCGGGCACCGAGCACCATGGACGCCGTGTCAGAGCTCATTAACGACACGCTGCGCCTGTACAGCTGGAGCCTGAGCATCGCAGGTAACCGTGTCCGCCTCCATCATACCCTACAACTCCTATCATCCGCAGACAATCCCACCATACCCTGCTCTGTGCCCACCCCCAGGCTGACTACAACTCCTATCATCCTCAGACCATCCTACCATACCCTGCTCTGTGCCCACCCAGAGGCTGACTACAACGCCTAGCATCCTCAGACAATCCTACCATACCCTGCTCTGTTCCCACCCCCAGGCTGACTACAACGCCTAGCATCCTCAGACAATCCTACCATACCCTGCTCTGTTCCCACCCCCAGGCTGACTACAACGCCTAGCATCCTCAGACAATCCTACCATACCCTGCTCTGTTCCCACCCCCAGGCTGACTACAACTCCTATCATCCTCAGACAATCCTACCATACCCTGCTCTGTGCCCACCCCCAGGCTGACTACAACGCTTAGCATCCTCAAACATAACCACAATACACACACACACACACACCATATACTGCTCTGTACCAACCCCCAGACTGACTACAACTCATATCATCCTCAGACATCACCACCATACACACCATACCCTGCTCGGTACCAACCCCCAGGCTGACTACAACTCCTATCATCCTCAGATACACCCCCTCTGGACAAGGATTATGGGAGTTACAGTTTTAAAATGCTGGGGTTCCTGAATGTATGTGATTGGGTAACCACAGTGCCTATGGTAGCTCAATAGCATGTTCTTGGCACAGTGTTCATTACTTCTGTTGGTGGAAGGTTAATACTATAATATACTTTTTTTTTTTTTTGTAGGGATGAAAGATATTGTTCCTGTATAATAATAGCTTCCAGATACATTATGCTTCCATGTTACATTATTTCTAAATCTTCTGTAATATGTATTAATGTGCTTCTCAGCACAGGGCCTCCATATGTATGCTAGTATGTCCTCCATATACATACAATCCATTAAATTATTTTTAACACACTTCCTTAATGCTCATCTGGCTAAATTGTGCAGAAGGCTTCCAGATAGCTGTAATATAGCTCATAATACAATGAATTACCTAATGGTGGGTCACTAGTGGTATGAAATATGCATCCATTCTTTTCTTTGTAATACACACTGCTCCAAAATGTTAAGACTGCCTTTTTTTCAGGAAATGCAAGATCAGCAGGCAATTTATATTTCCCTATGGATTGGACCTATTATGACATGGCATGAAATATATTACTCCTCACACCTGTCAAGGGTCATGGCAGATTCTTATTGATCCATTTGTGGCTTGTTTATTTGATTAAAAGTGATGGTAATTTGTAGCAAATCTTATTGCAAATCCTGCAAATAAATACCATGCCTTCAAGGTACAATTACAAATGTACACCATTTTGGAATATGGAATTTACTTATAGGTGAATCCTGCTTGACAGTGGCTAAACAAATTAATAATTAAGGTTCACTAAGTAATTGGAGAGACTAGAGGAAAATAATACATGTGTTCTGTATGCAGCTAAACATGATAACTGACAAATTATATTATAATTCTATGGTTTGATTGTTCTGTAATAGAGATTGTTGCTTATTTTACCTATCAAAAGTACAACATTGACCATGCACCAAATTCATTAAATAATATGGCATGAGTTTTGGAAAATGATTCTTGTTAATTATATAACCCAGGGCTTGACAAATTTGGTTGGAATCTAGGAGCCAGCTAAAACAGTTAGGAGCCAGTTTTTTTTTTTTTTTTTAAACAAAGCTTAATTTTCAATGGCAAAAATAAAATTCTTAAAGTGATACTATAGTCACTACAGCTTAATGTGGAGGTTATAGTGTCTGCAGCCTGCCCCTGCAGGCTTTTCAATGTAAGCACTGCCTTTTCATAGAAAATGCAGTGTTTACATTGCTGCCTAGTTACACCTCTAGTAGCAGTCACTCAGACACCACTAAAGTGCTTCCTATCTCAGTGCTGCACAGTGTGCAGCGCCTACATTTAGCGTCTCCACGCACTGTATGGAGGCGTGGCACGTTCCACATAGAGATGCACTGATTTAATGCAGGTCTGAGTAGACGCTGTTTGGTGCAGTATTTTGCCACGCGTGCATACTAGCCTCCTAGTGAAGGCCAGCTGCGTCAAGTCCGGCACGGAGTGGGAAAAAAGTGAGTAAAAACACAATTCCCATGAGATTGGAGGGGGGACGGTCACCTAAACACACACTCCCTGACAGACAGACACACATTCTCTAGCAAGTTATTTTTTGTTTTATTTGTTTATTTCCACACAGCCTCCCACATTATATGTAGCTAGATATTGTGCTTTTTTTTTTTTTTAATATATGCAGATTTACATGCATACGAATATACCCCCTAATTTCCTAGTGCCTAACTTTTTACCTGTGCACTAGTACATAGTGTGTGGGGGTCGCATATCCACTAGTTAATGCCTGCATCTATTTATTGAATAGGGAGTTGTGGGGAACTGAAAGTGAAATTTGAAAATATAAATACAAAATAAACAGGCTAAGAATATCTTGCTGATGAATGTTTATTAAACTTTGTGACTTACTTACTAAGCAAAACCTACCTCAGCTATGGTCATAGTTTGTCCCCTGGGGCTGTGATCTCCCTTCTTTGCTCCCTTGCACAGTTTAATGATGCCCTAAAGTTACTAAACTACGTGAAGGAGCAGAGCAGGGCAACCCAGGAATAAGCTCCCTCTCAGCCATGCTCCATTCTACACAGCTGGCCGCCGGTCCGCCTCCACTCTCTCCATGCCGTCCGCCTCCACTCTCTCCATGCTGGCCGCCGGGCCGCTTCCACACTCTCCATGCTGGCCGCCGGGCCGCCTCCACACTCTCCATGCTGGCCGCCGGGCCGCCTCCACACTCTCCATGCTGGCCGCCGGGCCGCCTCCACACTCTCCCTGCTGGCCGCCGGGCTGCTACCACACTCTCCCTGCTGGCCGCCGGGCTGCCTCCACTCTCCCCCTTCTGGCAGCCGGCCCGCCTCCGCTCTCCCCATGCCGACCGTCTGCCTCCGAGGCGCCCAGGACACAATTCTTAGTTGCCATGGGGACCTGGTGCCTGGGATTTGTTGAGCCCTGATATAACCAGTTTTTATTAAATAATGTAACTGTGATAATTTCATAGCAATCTGTGTAATATTCTACTAGTATTAATGGCAATTGCTGCACACTTTGCACTTTCCCCTCACAATTATTCAGTTTTTCATGGATTACTAAATAATCAATTTTAATAATTGTATACACAACATCTTTTTGATTGTAGTGATGTTTCTAAAGATGCTTTAAGCTAAGGTTGCCTTTATTATTCTTTGAGTATTTCCCTGCTGTGTTTATAAATAAAGTTAGGACTAGTATTATGTTGCATGTTTAGCTATTGATCTAACATTTACTATAACATTTCATTTTTTACTATGTCACTTATTAATGATCCTGATGCATATAAAATCATATTTTTCTTTTTAAAATGTTTAAGGAAGTGTACTTTGACCTTGTAGACATACCAAGATTAACAGGGGTTCACTTCATTGCCCTTGATTTTGCAAGCTAAATGCAATCCTAATGCAATTATGGAAGCTGTAAAATGTCTTATCTTGATACTAAGTTTATAGTGTACCCAAAAGCTGAGAACATTGACTCCCTTATAATTGCCACCTCCCTTCAAAGCAAACAAAACCTGAAGCTCACAAACAAATTCAATGATGAACAGTCAACTGTGAGGACATTGCTTTATTGATCCAACCTATTCCAATTAGTATTGTAGAATGTTACAATAGTGTCTCAAGCAATATTCCGCAAATAATGTCAGCCATCACAATGATGCAAATTGCTTGTTTATATACATGTCAGGATTGTTTATTTTTTATATGTATGGTATTAAAGGGGCTACTATGGAAGTTCAACTTTGTGTTAATCATAAACTATTCTTTCTATCTATAAGGAGTGAAATGTGATGGTTGAAATTGTACATTTGAAATAAGTGTGTATTGATTTTTATTGATATTTATTCCTGGACAACAGTCAGTGCATATGTAGTTAGTCATAGGGAAAAAACAAGATTACACCCTGTTTGAATGCTATGGTTTTACATCTTAATTTTGGCTCACTCTTATTTACAACATTGCTTCAGTTAATTGAGGTTTGCTGGCATTTGTTTATGTACAGCTCTCTTAAGGTCCAGCCACAGCATTTCAATAGGGTTGAGGTCTGGACTTTGACTGGACCATTGCAACACCTTGATTCTTTTCTTTTCAGCCGTTATGTTGTAGATTTGCTGGTGTGCTTCGGCTTATTGTCCTGTTGCATGACCCGATTTCTGCCAAGCTTTAGCTGTTAGACAGATGGCCTCACATTTGATTCTAGAATACTTTTGGTATAAAGATGAGTTCATGGTAGACTAAATGACTGCAAGGTTCCCAGGTCCTGTGGCTGGAAAGCAAGCCCAAATCATCATCCTTCCACCTCTGTGCTTGACAGTTGGTATGAGGTGTTTGTGTTGATATGTTGTGTTTGACAAACATCTCCCCTTAGGTCTCGTCTGTCGTAAGTACATTGTTCCAGAAGTCTTGTGGTTTGTTCAGATGCACCTTTGCAAACTTGTGCTGCCATGTTCTTTTCAGAGACAACCCATGTGCTTTATCCTGGCAACTCTTCCAAACAAACCATATCTCTTCAGTATTTCTCTAATTGTACGGTTAATATTTAACATGCTAATTGATGCCTGTAGAGTCTGATATGTAACTCTTTTATTTATTTTTTCTCTGAGCATTACCTTGGGGTGAATTTGCTGGGACGTCCACTCCTTGGAAGATTGGCAACTGTCTTGAATGATTTCCACTATTGGAAAATCTTTCTCACTGTAGAATGATAGTCTTTAACTTGTTTGGAAATGGCCTTATAACCCTTCCCAGGTTGATGGGCAGCAACAATTTCTTCCCTAAGATTGCTGCTGAAATCGTTTCTCCTTGGCATTGTGTTAACACACACAAATGCTCCAGACCAGCAAACTGCTAACACTTTGGCTTTTATAGAGGTGGTTACACTTGCTGATCATCAATGAATAAAGGGTATTTGATTAGCATCATCTGCCTGTTACTTAGCCCCCTCTGGAAACAGTAAGGACTTCTCCATTTTGGCTTTGTTTATTTTAAATAACTCATGACATGTGTTGTTCATCTGAGGATGTATTTACTTAATTTTAAGACCTGCTAAGGAACAATGATTCTGATATGTGAAACCACAGAATTTAGAAACCAAGAGGGTGTACTTTCTTTTACCCATGAATGTAGATAGCTTTAGTAATACAAAAAACATTGCTGTAGTAATTCGTTTTGGGTGTGCTTTCCTGTAATTTTACAGTTTTTCAGAGAGTTTATTATGTAAGCATCAATATTATTAGAGGGGAGTAGCTGTTTTAGTGTTTAATGTGGTGCATTAAAATCTGGATTACTGAACTTCTATCAAAAGTATTTTTGGGATGAATAATGTAGTCACATAAAATAGGGCATACAATTTATAGTTCTGCAACACAAACTACAGCAAGTACAAGTCCAAAATAATTAAACTATACAAAAAAGCAGTCCAAACCACAAACCTTGAAATAATATATGAACAAAAAATGTTTGACTTACTCCATGCATTCCAGGTAGGGCGGTTTGGCTCATTACATAAAGCACAGTGCTTCATTTGGGTAGGGTCACATTTCAATTATGAGGAAATCCCCCTGAAAAATCTGCTTAAATATGAATTTATATTTATTCCATTCATCTTAAATATGTGTTACCAGTGAGAGGGAGGAGTACAAGACTACATGCTTTGGGGTTCTTTTTCAAAGACCACTGAAGGTGACTTGCCTTTGACCTTTTTCTACAGCTATCTCTAGCAACAGATTCTAGGAACTGACTTGTCGGAGCTCAAACTTTGTTAAAACCCTACTTTGTCTAATGATAACTACTGTTTGTGTTGAAATTTCCATGAAATTCTAAAGCAGTAAATAAGAGTATTTCATAAAGACTTTCTTTATGGAATACTCAGAAGTGACATAGCCACTTTAAAGCACACACATTTTGTTTGTATATATATATATATATATATATATATATATATATATATATAAATATCCAATACTTGCACTCCTGCAGATATAATAAGCGCCCGGTGCTTGTCAGCAAAAATTATAACAGTCTATAGAAAGATAGCACTCCAGGGACTAGATAATATGGTGGAAAAAAACATAGCTTTTATTCAGCAAGATGCCACAGTGATCAACGTTTCATCCTGACGATAGTTCTGTACTGGAACTGAAAATGAAATGATCACTGTGGCATCTTGCTGAATAAAAGCTACGTTTTTTCACCATATTATCTAGTCCCTGGAATGCTATCTTTCTATAGACTGTTTGATATATATATAATAAAAAATCTCAATTGGCACAGATCAAAAAGAAATAACAAAATCATCAATATAAAAGTCTTATAAAAATAAATAAAAAATAACAAGCTCTTGTGTATTGAATTGAACAAAGTATGTCTATAGTGAGGGCTATGTTTAGAGATTCAACACCAATTATGGTAAACAAGATTGAAACGTACGAACATCATAAATATTTCCTGGAGAAATATGCAAAATGGAAGTGCATAAATTAAATAAGGGATGTCATCACTGTGGACTAGTTGAGTAACTGAAAGGACTCCGACATCAGACATACCCTTGATAAGTATTCCTAATGTAATAAAACTTGTTTCAAAACATTAGCTGTATTTTTATTTTAATAGCCTTCTTTTACAGTGAAATACCTACTGCACCATTTATGTCCAGTAGTACAAAAGTCCTACACTATTGTTGTGTTTTATTATATAGCTATATAGAAATCAACATTATTTTATAAAACCCTGCACATTATTCTCTTGATCAACCTGTACATTTTTATATTTTGTAATTTTATTTCTTGTTATTTTGGGGGGTGTGTGTGTGTGTGTGTATGTATGTATGTATGTATGTATGTATGTATGTATATATATATATATATATATATATATATATATATATATATATACACACAATTTTTTCCTGCCAGTTTTGAGCAAATTCTGTTGGGACAATGAGATGCTCTTCCATGTCAGAACCTTGATCCCTATTTATTTCCAAGCTAGAACATTGTGGACACTGGGCTGTTATCATTGTAGGAAGGAGAGGTGCAGGACCATGGGCTGGGACCTGTTTCTTCACCTTGTGAATATCAGCCTCTAGGACATCTGTCAGAGTCAGTGGCAGTGTCATTGAGGCTCTGCTGTTGCACCACAACCATATCAATAGGCGCAATGTTTAGTGTCACAACTGTTTCCAGGATGCCACGTCAAACTACCCACCCCCACAGTGCCACCATAGTACCCAGATATATCCCAGATTTAGCCACCAAACCACCCACCCACCCAAACACCCACATCTACAACTTTTACACTTAACAACCTGCTATCGATCAAAAATGTGTTAAATAGGTCTCTTAAATATCAGCCCCTTTTGTTATCCACTATATCTTTCACATGATGTGCAGTCTCCATGTAGGGCCATTCCATTTACATTGCAGGAAGGCTATAGGAGTGATGAGTTGGATTTTTATAGTAATGTAACACCTCTGAGCTGCAGACCTGGTGGTGTTGGAGTCAAGGTAAATGATGCCTAGATTTCTAAACTTTACATTGAATGCATTATTTATTTCTATCATAAATTATGTATTCAATGCCTATGGCGCGAATTTTAGTTAAAGTAAGCCAGTCAAGACGGTCTATTTTAACAAAAAAGGCAGCACTTACATAGGAAAGTGTCTGCAAGACTCTTTTAGGCCAGGAAAATGCTCCACTATTAGTAGCCTTTCATGCTGATCTATTTTTATATCTTCTTATCCGACACACCTTTTCTCGACTGTGTTTATAGGATATGTACGGTAGTTTAGCTTGCAGCTGCAGTTCTACTCTCTCTATATGAGATACTGTGGCTGCTTTATGTTTATTCACTGTCACAGCTATTTGATGTTCTGAAGACATCTGAAGGATAGCATAAAGAAATTAAATTCTAAAATTCTTCCTTCAATGTCACAGATCCATGAAGCAGTCTTATAGTTGCAGCATCGTAAACTCAACTATAAATTAGAAGGCGAACTGTTTTGTCGTATGTTGCTCTTGTGCTTAGTGGAGAATATCAGAAAGCTACTATTAAAAACTACTTAACATATTTAAAGGGTTACTCAAAGCACAATGGCCATGTAAGTGATTTGAAGTGGCCATGGTACCTGGAGTCTGTTTGTGCCAAATTTCACTTCGAACTGCTGCACATATATAGTTGAACCCCACTCATTCTGGAGGTGTAACTCCACCTCCATCAGCCTCATAGGGGCGTCATTGTTGGCCTCGAATAAGTCAAGCCAGCACGTTCTCAGCCAAGGAATGGCTGGTGGGATCGACTTCCTTCTTTTGCAGATCTGCAGTAGACTAATGCCACCACTGGCCAATGGAGGGTCCTCAGCACCCACCAGGGACCCAGAAAAAAAGCTCAAACCATTGCAAAATGGTTTGTCCTATTACAGAGAAATGGGACCAGGTTATTCCTGATATCATAACCACAACAATGGGCTGTAGTGGTTATCCTTGGAGTAACCCTTTAAAGACTGTCAATTCCAGGAGTTGTAATATTTATTATAATAAACAAATTTGTATTTGTGAATTGGGAAAAATAAAATTAGCCACCCAATTAAGCCCCCACCTAATGCCTGACGCTAGTTTTTTAGTCATTGGTTGCTTGCTGTTTAGTGGTCATACCCCCACTTGCTGCATGGCAAATGCAGGCATGGGGGAGATATATAACCTCTCTTATACTAATGTGGAAGTCGTATTGACCCCCTTAGACTTTTAAATTTTTTTTATTTATATATATATATATATATATATATATTTACCAAATAGCTGCTAGTGCTGCCAGCAGGCAAATAGTAAAAATGAAAAAATGCAAAACTTATCAACCATTTTAAGCTGTCAAATTGTCAAAGATTATATTTTCTATGTAAATTATAGACATTGGACTAAATTTTTCTGCTCCCGAATACCATTTAACTGCGCTAATTAAATTGTTTAGAACTATTAAATGCTTATAGGAAATAGATAAACTGCCAATACTTGTGATCTTCAGATATGTAATCGAGGCCTATATATGTGTATATGTGTGTACACACAACCAGCGGCTATATCTTCCCTAGACAAGCTGGTCTCAGTGGGCAAACCTCGCCCCTTCTGCCTATGCCATACCTGTAGTTAATGTATTCCTATGCCTACAATGTCCAAATTAACTTTTGGCATACAGGTCAAGTGAATAAGCTTTCTTCACCAACAGGTTCTAAGAAATTGTTAAAAAGATTAGAGGCACTTACAGCACACAAGCTCAGTGGTAAATCCTCTTTCTTGACAGGCCTAAGACACTGTTATGGAGATTCCCCCATTAAGTAAAACCAGATACTCATTTAAAGAATTGATTGATAACAATGAACCTTTAACATCTTATCCTTAAATATGTGGTGATAAATATTTGTTTAAAAACGACATAGTATTGAAGAACAGACAGTCATAATTATATACTGAAATGTAACACTTTCCAACATGTCAAAAGATAAGCAAATTAACACATGTATATTCTTATTTGTGTGCATTCATTTTATACAGCCCGAAGAATCAGGGCGGGGCCCTAAAGGGGTATTGCAGGCTGTGTTGTTAGTGACCCCCATAAAGGTTTACAAACAACACCCACTGGCTGGCCCCCAGTTTGCAGGTCCAAGCAGCGAAAGCTGATATAGTGCTCCCTTCATGGCCCTAGTGCCCTCCATGCAGAGCTGGCATGTCTGATTCGCTCACGTTGTTTTGCCTGGGTGCAGTTCTCTGGTGTCCCTGGATCCGGAACACCAGGGAACTAAATCGGGTTGGCGGGACAGGACCCTGACATGTAAGAAGGCCTTATTAGCCCAACCGAGACAGTTGGGAGAGTGTGGAAGTGAAAGGGTTAATAACACCAGACCCCTGATTACCTGTTGCTAGTCCCAGCAACCACTAAATTAACCCCTGCAATCCCTTCTACACTAACACCCTAGTACACACTTTACTACCACCACCAAGACTTTATACCCTAGCGTCTTAGGTTAAACACAGTGGAATTATAGTATCACAACCTTACTTTACTGATCAGACATCTATAATTAACCCTTTTGGTAACCTGTTTCCCTGAGCTTTCTTCATAACACCCATTGTACAGCGCTACGGAGTCTGATGGCGCTATATAAATAATAAAATAATAATAATAAAAGAGTGAGCTCATCGAGAACAAATGGATATTAAAAAAGAAGGAATATGTGTTAATAGATTTTCTCTTTTCTCTCCTCAGTATATATTGAAAATTTCCACTTAAGACCGTAATATGCTTTCTGTTTGCTTTTAGTTTCAAAGGTTTTATTTAAATATGGATTTTATAGAGATGGTAATGCCACTAGAATATAGTGGGATATAGGAATGTATTTATTTGTTTCACTTCTTGCCCCACTTGGACGCTTGGGAATCCATATTTAAGTTGGGCAAACACTCGTACTACGAAAGGTCCTGCCCCTAGTATATACGTCACGACGTAAGTACGGAGATAACGTTGTGACGTCATACGCAAGGGACGATAAAATTAAGAATGCGGCCAGACACACCTATAGTGTGTCCAATAAAGTGTTTTTTGTCATTACTTCTGCATCCTGGAGTATTTGAAGCAACAGAAACCAAGGACCACAAAAGGGATGTAGCCTGGAGTTTGATTATTACATACGTTGAGCTGACATGCTTCTAGTCTGAGCCAGCTTTTTTAAAGTGGCTCATGACCATGTGAGTGTAACCATTTGCAGTTCTTATCAAATTTAGCTGCTACGTTATTACCCTATGTTTTCATTTTTTCTTGTTTTTAGATTTACAAGAGTGGTTGAAACATTTCTATGTGCAATAAGGGTAATGTGTTTATATTGTATGTATTAGTGTGCTCTCACCATTCACATTTTTCGTATCATCGAGAACAAAGACACAAACTGATTAAGTAAACATTTAATCTGACAAAGATTTACAATGCTGTGTACAAAAATACAGAAATAAATGACATACAGAAACACAGATAACAAATTGCAAAACCGCCCATAAAATAAAATAGGAGAAAACACAAGAAATTCTTACATATATTTACCCCTTATATATAATTCTTGTGGGAGATTCAGATGTTACAGGTCTCCAAGTAGTTGTTGGGGGGGGGGATAATCCAACATCCTCATTATATATCTCAAACTAGTTTTTTCTAAGTGGCCAGACCCCTGGGTTTCGCCTGGCAGTTTATTGCCCACTACATATTTTCTTAAATGATGTTGTCCTTTGAATAACCCAAAGTCAGAGCATATGCACCAATACCTTTTACGATGCCCTATGTCCAGCTCTGGTGATAGTTATTAAGTAGTTTTATGGCTTAGGCCTGGTGTTTGATCAAACCCTAGAATAAATCCCAACATGTACAAAAACAACTCATAAAGTATATCAAATGCCAACTCATGCTTTGGCATGACATAGACATTTTGCAAACAGGCACATTTCTGGTTGACCAATAGGACTGCATGCAGTTAAGTGTCTTATTGAAACAGCAATTGTTAAGAATACTTTATACTTCAAAACTAATTTTTTTTTTTTTTTTTTTTTATGTTTTGGATTTTGAGGTTTTGCTCATAAACAAGATATATGTGCATCTTGTGAACACAGTTGTTTTTGTTTGGTTTTTTTCTGGTTGTTTTTTTCCCCCTCAGATTTCAATACAATTAATTTACAGTAATTTGTAGACTGCAAACATATTCCACTGCACTGTACAATAAACATAAGACTCATAATTGTAACAAAACACAACTGACATATGAGAACAGGACCCTTCCAAACAAGTTAACATTTTTATTTTGAGGTATTTTACACCCCATCATCATCTGGCCAAACTATTATTATTATTATTAGTGTTTATATAGCGCTAATTTATTCCACAGTGATCAGTAGTATAGCCTTTTATCTAACTCTCTTAAAGAAACTATTTTTGTTCCATCTTAGTCGCAGTCACCCTGGTATAACGTAACAGTATCACTGTCAGATCACCTCTCAGCTGTGTCCAGCATCCGGAGGAGAGATATATTTAAGGCAGGATTCCCATTCATAATGTCTGTACAAGTTATTTATACAGTGCTGCATGTCACTGGCATCTGTTAGTCAGTTAAAGTACATAGTCTGTCTGTGTGTGTGTGGGAGGGGGGAGAGATTAAACTCTTGTCATAAATGGCTAAGCTTGAATTGACCTTCACAACATTGAGCAGATTGTATTGTTAGAAGCCTTTTGGTTTAAGTTGTTCTCTATGAATGTAATGTGTTATTTTGCTTACTATATTGTAGTAAGGTAACTTTAGATTTGTGCAAGGAAGGATTTGCGTGTTTGTCGTTAAAAACGGACACTCTGACACTTGCCAGTGGTCCTGCAGACCTTAGAACCAGTATAAGCTAGACTATAGTAGCGTTTGTTTTATTTTGTTGTCATCTCATTCACCCCACCCAGCTATAGACTGTGAACTATGTTATTGTACAGGTTTGCTATATCATTGTTTGTTTATTTCTTTGCGTTTGCTCCCATATTGATACAGCTCATAGACTACCTTGAAATAGCTTCATCTTCAGAATAATTGCATATAAAACCTATTTGAATAGGTGAAGATGTCTTATTGTGACTGTCAAATACAAGAAATTAAAGTGACACTATAGTCACCAGAACAACTACTATACAATGCGGTCGCACAACTCTGAGTTCTGTGTATAGCCCAGCGAAATTCTAAATTTTGGGGAGGAATTCAAGCACTTACCTCACCATACAATACCCTCCCTGGCTTGGAGGCACGCATGGGTCGGAAAACTAAAAAGCCCAAGGCCGACACCAACCGCGATATAAGTGATCTTCTGCGGAACTCGCAGAGGGCCTTATGGGAGAAAATGGCACTGGGGGACGACGGCTCATCTGTTTCCTTGGAGGGTACCTCTTTTGATCCCAGAGAAGGGACTTTTCTGAGCCCGACACCTGACCCCAAGACCAAGAAGCAGGCGAACCAGTTACAGTGGATCTACTTAAAAGCATGCTTGCCAAACTCCGATATAACCTAAACGCTGACATGGCCTACTTTAAAGACACCATAGAAGGCGCCACCACCAGGCTCAAGCTCTTAGAAGCCTCAACAAACACACAAGATTCCCGACTCACTGCTGGAAAAGAAGTTGGCGGACCTCCAACAACAACAGCGTGTTACAGCTGAGAAGGATGAAGCAATGTAATATGAGATGCAGATACAATGTAAAAATCCGAGTGGTCCCCGAGGCTATAGGCCTCGCTCACCTACCACACGTTGTCCAGCGCCTCCTCGCTACCCAACTGCCACCCAACTTGGCAAAGATAATAAAACTGGATGGCATGTTTTGGCTGCCAAATCCAGCAAGAGCAACCACTACAGCCACCACTCATCTAATCCTGAGATTTCAATCCCTCCTGATGACGGCTACTCAGGGGAAGACCCCATTTAAATTTGAAGGTGCGGAATAGCCTCGTGTGATGGATTAGCTGTAGCCACTCCTGTAACACCTCTGCTCCAACAATATCCCTTATCGCTGGGGAACACCTAAGCTCCTACTGTTCCCGCATTAAGGGATTGCTTATCGGGCTCGAGCCTGCATGAGTTGGACTCCCACATGCAGAAGCTGGGCCTACAAGAACCACGGCAGACAAACAGACCAAGCCCGTCTTAGCTGATTCCCTCTACTGTAGTGGAGTTTACTCACAAGATGACTCTGCATATCCCTTGAGGAACGGATACCACCTGATGACCCACGGTCGGCGGAGAAGAGATCCATGCCCACCCCAAGGGTGCTCCAGTTACCACCACCACGATTTATTACGCATTTAATGTTGTATAGCGACTGTTCTGTTTTATCTTTGTGTTATTTTTTTGTTGATTCTATGTGCCTAGGTCATATGCCTATAATTATATGAAAGCCGCATGGCTACTTACGTGGAACACATGCCATATGACCTACCCACACACGAAAAGTTATTTGAAGCAGTGCTACACAAGATGTTTACCCCCTTCCCCCCTCTCCAGATTTAGCTTAGAACCACATTTGACTACAATCCTATATCTCTGGATGGAGGTGTACATTGGGTACTTTAACCTACCCATATTGCTTACTCAGTCGGGTCTACACAGTGTCCCTGAGAAATGACGTTATGTTTTTACTTACCTGATGCTTTAACCTGTTATTTATTGTTATGTTTCTTTATCCTCAGATAAACGTGTTGAAAAATGGCCAATGATGCAATCTCCGTTACCGACCCTGGCTATAAGTACACTTTACCTGCTCATTGTATGGTTGGGTCCAAAATTTATGAAGAACAGAGAACCTTTCCAGTTACGCTACTTATTGATTGTCTACAACTTTGGGATGGTTATCTTGAATTTCTTCATTTTCAAAGAGGTTAGAATTGGCATTTCACATTTAGCAAAGAAACTGTTGGCGCACATGTATTGCAACACATTTTATTTTCAAGGCATATTTAGTGTGAGATCAAAATAAGCGTGTAGCTTTTGGCTTTTGTGACCGCTTCTAGGTTACTCTTCTTATCATTTATCCTATCATGCTTTTTACCATGTATGTATTGCTTTTTAACCTTTATGACTGTTTACCTGTCTTTTACCTTCATTTTCTCTACTGATTTCCTGTCATCTTTTGTTGTCTACATCACTTCTCAGTTTACAGGCATTCATATTAATGCCATGAGCTTGCAAGCACCAGCATCACTTTAGAGTGCATCGGCCCATGCAGCAGTAACGCATGCACATTCAGAATGTAGATTCATCTCTGTTGCATAGGCAATAATTTGGTGCCCTACGCAGCTCCCTTCCCCAAATCTAGCCAATAAATACCACTAGTGAAATCCAGGGCAGTGTTCAGATATTTCTAAGTGTACCGGAAGTCCATATTGCTTAAAGCTTATATACAAACATAGGCTGTGACGGCAGATAAGAACCATTCAGCCCATCTAGTCTGCCCAATTAGCTAAATACTTTCATTAGTCCCTTATCTTATAGCTAGGATAGCCTTATGCCTATCCCACGCATGCTTAAACTCCTTTACTGTGTTAACATCTACCACTTCAGCTGGAATGCTATTCCATGCATCCACTACCCTCTCAGTAAAGTAATACCTCCTGATATTATTTTTAAACCTTTGTCCCTCTAATTTAAGACTATGTCCTCTTGTTGTGGTAGTTTTTCTTCTTTTAAATATAGTCTCCTCCTTTACTGTGTTGATTCCCTTTATGTATTTAAATGTTTCTATCATATCCCCCTGTCTCGTCTTTCCTCCAAACTATACATGTTAAGATCCTTTAACCTTTCCTGGTAAGTTTACTCAACCAGTTGTATGTAGAAGTTATTTTTATTGTGTGCCCAAAGTATTTGTGTTGTATTCTTCGGGACTTTATGCTGAGTAACACGTCTGATCAGCATATATACAGACAAAACAATTACAAAACTCTGCTGCTCTCAGATTCCCCTTCACTATTAAGTGAACTAGAGTTGTGCTCTAATTCCATAAAATGGAATGTCTAGTTTTACTATCTTGTACCATTTTATATCAATGCATTGCCTATTATTCATGTTTTCAGCGGTCATTCAAAAATGTAAATCCTTAATAGTATAATGAAGTATCCCTTGTGATTACAATAACCTTTTTGTACAAATTGTGTCAAGTCTTTGAACCATGACAAATAAAGCCATCCTATTTTGTAGGCATTGTTTTGGCAAGTGATTTCCAAACAGTCCTCAAGGCACCCCTACCAGTTCAGGATTTAGGGATTACCTAGTTGTGTCTAAGGTGCTGTTGTTTTTTTTTTTTTTTTTTTAAATTGGTAAAAAAAAGTAAGTAACAAATACATGTATTTTCCTGTCAACTCATTCTTAAATTTCAAAAAGGATACATATTTTTTGATCCTTGTATAACAGACACTAACCCGAGTTACAGATTACAGAATGTTTTTATGCCCTGACTGGTTTCAGTAGCCACCACTGCATCCTTTTTTACTAGGCTTCCTCTCCTCGTTACAACTGAAGTAGAGTATCCCTCACTATAGTGTTATTGAGAGATGCACACACCACCTGCCTGATCAATAAACATTCCAAAGTGGGTAACGTGTAAGAGATTTATCAGTGTCATAATAAAAAAGTGGTGCAAAGTTCTAAAATCTGTGCATGGAAACCAGTAGATTGTAGAACATACATTCCATTCCATTAGAAATATATAATTCCAACACATTTGCCATAAATGCATCTGACATGTTTATCCTTTTCTTACAGCTCTTCCTGGGTGCAAAAGCTGCAGGATATAGTTATATTTGTCAGACGGTAGATTATTCTGATGATGTTAATGAAGTCAGAGTAAGTAAAAGTATTCATTTTTATTGGTAACCATGTTCTGTTTGTCATATGCCATTATATGTAAACATATTTCATTTAAAAATCTGTTTTCTGTATCGGTTTTCTTCCTAAAGCCAAGAAGTCATCACACAAAGATTAAATATTTACTTTACACACACACACACACATGCATTTTCCAGCAATATAAACACTTTTGTTTTTAGCAATAAATGGTGAAATAGTTTAAATTAATAGGAATGTGTTCATGCTAACCCAAAATAATTGAAGTTCTGTATGCTAAACAACTTCATGATTATTCTTTGTTATATCATATTTAGCTGTACAGCTTAGCCTACAATTGTTAAAAACACAATTACACTGACTCTGCTTTCATTGGTTAAGGGCATTCATAGACATATCATTAACTTGAACATTTTAACCACCTGTGCACTGCTGTGATAGCAGCCAGATATCACTGTAAGGAACCACAAGCTCATACCCTGATTTGTCATATGACAACCACAGGGCATGTCTTCCTGAAGCCTGCCCGTTGTTGGCTTGCTGTAACGTCATTTTCTTGTACTGTCCAGGAACTCCTACAGCTGTGACCGCAAAAAAGATGGACACCAAACAAAAAAAACACACAAGCACATGTCCTTAGAGCAAATTAGGGAGGGAAGGAGGGCAGTTAAGCAAAGCGGGAGTGCCTCTACCATGCTGCCTGGCTGGAAAGAGGCAAGACCCTCCTCAAACCTTACTTTTATACTATGCAACGTCCATTTACAAGCATTACATTTCTGCTGCAAATTGAATTCATTTCACACCATTACATCTCAGTGTAGGCAAGCAAACATGAACCTTTTCCTTATTGGTCCAGGGGCTTTCCTTAATTCACATTTTAATGTGTGCAATACTCTCACGGATTGTGTAACCAAACCCATAAAATTGTGTTTTAAATTGCTAATTACATATAATTTTTTTTTTATCCTGCTTCCTACAGGTGGCGTCTGCACTTTGGTGGTACTATGTTTCTAAAGGGGTGGAATACTTTGACACTGTATTTTTCATACTGAGAAAAAAGTTCAACCACATAAGTTTTCTGCATGTGTATCATCACTGTACAATGTTCACCTTGTGGTGGATTGGAATTAAGTGGGTCGCAGGAGGACAATGTATGTATCAATGGTGACATTCTTCAACATAATTTATTTAGATTTTTGTCTTTTACAAATATATATGGCTAAATGAATAATTTATGTGTATAGTTATCAATTCTGTAATACGTATACTTAACCATTCATCTTTGTAAGCTGTTCATAACTATAACTATGGGAGAGAGCTGAGGTTTAATATGTCATCTGCCCATACTATTTACAGGTAAGGGTTATAACCCAGGAATGTACTGTAAGAAATATGATTAAATCGTAACGCATTTGTTAAACAAAGCATTATATTAAGGCCCATTTTGATATCTTTTTTTTTTTTTTGTCCAGCCTTTTTCGGTGCACATATGAATGCTTTGATCCATGTTGTGATGTACCTTTATTATGGATTGGCTGCATGTGGACCGCATCTCCAGAAGTATCTGTGGTGGAAACGCTATTTAACAATATTGCAATTGGTAATTTAGTTTTTTATATTTTTTTTGTGGCTTGATGTCCTCAATATGAAATCCCTACTAACATTTTAAAGTGGGCATTTGATCCCGTAGTATTATAGTTATTTTTTAAGTATTGTTATTTTATACAATTAAAACCCTTAGTGTAGAGCTGAATGGATCAAATGTGTTTATAAAATCAGTTTATGTGTGTAAAATGTGCAGAAGTCAATATGTGTGAGTGTGTGCATAATGTGAGGGAATTTGTATTGTGCTGTCCGTTTACTAGATGGGAAGGATTGCTTTCTGAATTTTGTGTATGTTGCAGTTAGTAAAGGTCCCCTTTATACATTTACGTTGTACTTTTAATCTATGATATGTAATATCAATGCTGTAGGTTGATTCACATGGTTATCCTTTTGTATCCATTCTATTTCAGGTGCAGTTCCATGTGACGATTGGCCACACAGCTCTGTCTCTTTACATTGATTGCCCCTTTCCCAAATGGATGCATTGGGCATTGATTGTATATGCCATTACCTTCATTTTTCTTTTTGCTAATTTCTACTATCGGACTTACAAAACACCCAAAGGATTTGCAAGAAGTGGAAAGCATGCCATGAATGGGAAACAGTCTATGAATGGAGCAGTCACTAATGGTACAATAAGCAAGCCTGAGAACACAGTGAGCATGGAAAATGGACGGAAAAAGAGAAAGGGCAAAGCAAAGCGAGAATAATTAACCCCAAGCCTTAAACTGTCTACAGCGTAGTGAAGCCTCAACCATACGTTGAGACACACATCTCTAGATAACTAGAGCTATTAAGAGTATAACTGATTTTCATTAGGTTTGTCAGGATTAAAACATCCTTAGGGAAAAAACTCTTTCCTTACATATACACTACATAGTTAGGAAATCTTTTAATGTCATCTTGCCAGCCACTGTACTCGTAAAGCACTATTTTTAAACCACTTCTCTGTAGGGAGAAATAATGTTGAAGTGAAATCCCAGTGGGTGTGTGAGTAGAAGGGAGTTCTAGTGAATAATTTGTTGAGGAAGCATAAATGATTCTGTAACCCGTAATTCAGGCGATTAAAGGGGAGGTAAGAATCACAGACAGAGATGTTAATATAGGAATAATTTTATTGTCCAAATAGTTAAGCATGTCAAAATATTGTGGCACCATCTCCTTGTTTTGTTGTAATGAAAGATGCAATTATGTTTAATTGCCGTAAGAATAAGCAAGCACAGCAGAGGGGTTCGTTTTCACTGGCTACTAGATCATAAGGCAAGCATTAAACAAACCTTATTTTGCTTATCATCATAAAATGGAGGATCATTTAACCCTTGAGTGCCTAATGATTTTCAGTACATTTTGCTATCTTTGAAATATTTGAATGTTATGCTTTATATTTATGGATATAAAAAAAGCAGATGAGATATTTAAATTACATCGCCTGGGGGAGATCTTCATCATGCATTTTGAAACTAGAAGAGCCATGTGCGAGCTTTCCCATAGTAGGCTTTGGCTTGAAATAGCAAACACAATTCATTTAGGAGTAACCAAACTAGCAAAAGCAAATCACGCTGTTATCATGGAAATATAAATTATTTTTACAATTAAGTAGTTAAGCATGAATGATATGTCATGCCTTTGTCACAGCCTGGCCCCTAAAGGCCCTCTGCCAGTGTGGAATTTCCTGCTTATTTTGCATTTCCTGGTCCATTATTATTAACATTTATATAGTGCAAACATATCCACAGCGCTATAAAATGATAGAATGGGGAGATTTGACAAGAAGTGTTTGACGTACAAAATTTACTGGAGCTAAGAGGTGATTGTAAGCTCATGGGCTGTCTGTCTAAGCACTTTGAATAAAAGAGCTTCAATGGCTAGATCTTAGCTCACGGGCAGGGCCCTCTCTACCTCTTGTATTGGTCTATGCAGATTGTATGTTCTACCCTAATTGTACAGTGCTGCGGAATATGCTGTCGCTTTATAATTGTTAGTAATAAATAAATAAATATGACGGCCTTTTTCAAACAAGCAAACACTGGCTTCCTATGACAGAATTATTCTGCTTTTGGTACTTTAGGGGTTAAACAGCCTGGATTTGTTTTTTGTTTTGTTTTTCATTTATATGTATTAACACGGTCAATCTATTTCAGTTGATGGGCATTTTTGAAACATGCAGTATCTTCCACATGGAGATGTACTATGTATTTTAAGGTGTAATTGTCATGCAAAAATTAGATGGTATCACTTTATAGACCAGAATATTTTCTTTACCTCATACTAGTCAAATGAATGGCAAGTGTACAGATATATTTGCATTGATCTATTTTACTTTTTAGAAATTCACTTCTAAGCCCTTGACATAGAGCTATAAAGTACAAATATGGCTAACAGAGGGGATGGATATGCATCAGTTTCTTCCCTCAGGCTTAAATACATCCGAGTTTGCTTTGTGGGATGCTGCAGGCATACAGGTGTGAAGTTGCATTAATAGTGATAGTCATTATGGGAGGGGTGGCAGGAGCATGCTTCAGTTAAATTGATAATTTAGGCTATACTTTTTATTACATTGTGATGCCTATCTGAAGCTAACATTACCATCCAGATTTTTAGCAGATGACAGTTCCTCTCTTAAATATAAATATGAACAGTATTTAAGTAAATAAAACTGTTTAATCAGTAGTATGTTTTCTGCTTAAATGATTTAATATCGCATTATTTTAGTGCCTCGAAGTATCCAACAATTTAACCCCTCCATCACATGTGGTTGGATAAAATCCCCTAATATCCAGTCTTGGCATGTCATTTGCCGTGCCGTGAAGATTTTACAATGAATATATAGCATAGAAATGTTTACAACGTTGGCGTTGTAAAAGTAAATTGTCATTTGTAAAATGTGGCTGTTACTTTAAGCACCATAAATGTAGAATACAAAAATATTTTCTTTTTTTATTATTATTTTGGTGTGTTATTTAGTATTGTAATTTTTGTGTGCTTTTTTTTATGTGTTTTTGTTTAAGTAATATGTCTGAAAAGCACAGGATGTTAACAGAAACCATATAGATAGAATATTGAATTGTTCTATTAGCCCAATTGAACAATACATAATATGTGCTATGTTTTTTGTTTTTGTGTGTACACATCTCATTAGCTGCTTGTCCAGAGTGGCGAATAACAAATGAAACACCTTTTTTTTTTTTTTACACTTAACACTAACAAAGGAATTCTACATTTAATGAAATGTTATTTATTTACTTATGTATTTATTTTGTTTGTGAGATTTGTGATAAGAACTAAGTATCGGAGTATGTCATGTCCCTGTGTCTGATACTGCTTATGCTCTGTAGTAATCTGTTTATGTTTATACATGTGTCATACTTGAATGTTAAGGTGGTGATATTACAGCTCCCTCTGGCATGCATGGGGCCAAAAGGATACACTAGAGCTCATACCTGTCCTAGAGCAATCTTAGACTAGCAAACAAACATTTGAGCCATATGAATCCATTTTTACTTCACCTTCCTGAATAAGGTTGTTTTGAAGTGGGGGAAAATGTAAACTGAAAGCTATTGTTTCAATAAAATATTATAATGGTCAGTGTATTGCTTTTCATTTTGTCAGCACATAGAGGGGATGGGGAAGGGGATAAATACACACAATGGAGCTGGGAGAGGGGAAGAAACACAGAGAGACTGGGGAAAGGGAGAAAGATGCACACAAAGGGGTTGAGTTAAGTTAGAGACTTAGAAAGGTGCTGGGGTAGAAAGAGACAATAGGCTGGGGGGAGTAAGATACACACAAAGGGGCTAAAGGGAAGTAAGAGACCCACACAGGTGAATTTGGGGTATAAGATAATCTAAAGGGGGTAAGACATTCAGAAGAGTATAAGAAACACAAAAAGGGATAAAAAGGAGGAGTCAATAATTATGGCTCCATGTCCCAAAGTACTGAGCCTGCACTAATATTAAGGTAAAAAGAGAAAAGTTAAGGTCTGATAAGCTTTTTCTGCCATTATATATAGGCTTCATAAAGGGGGACTGGTTAAAATGTTGGGGTGCCGGTAAATAAGATGCAGATTTGATATGATGTGAATAAGAATCGTGTGCTGTGAATAGTACTGCCTATGAACGAACTGGATAAAGTAAATTTTCAAAAAACATTTGGATTTGGAATTCTTACAAGCAGCCCCGGTGTGAACTTGTGTTTGCGCCCTCTGGCTTACAGTACCCCTTTAATCCACCAGTATTCATTCCGTTTGATATGGTGGAAGCTGTCTGCTTGCATCCCAACAAGAATTCCTCTCACTGAGCTCATGCCCTGCCAGAATGCCTTCTCAGAGCGACTCTGCCAAAAGGTATTTATAACGTAGACAAACAATTCATCTTGCTGCTTTAAGCTAAAATGAAAAATATCTAATGACATTCAATAGAAAGAGTGTAGTCTATTTGTCTTTTTTTTTTTTTTTCTTTTTTTTTTATGTATACATCAGCCCAAGTAAATAGAAAGGGTGTTCTCTCTGCCATGTATTGCAAGCAGAACAATAGTTTGCATCATCCCTCAGGAATCATAAATATATTAGAACAAGCTGGATGTTTGTGTAGTGATATCCTGATTGCAATTTATGGCTAGATTAAAAAAACATTGGGCCTAGTGCTGACAATTACGATGGGCCTAATTACAAAATCTTGTCAACAGAAAATATTGAAACAGTTATACCTCCCAAGCGTCATGTATCTCATGGAGATAGCGCTGTAGGTATGCAGCTAAAGGAAAGCACAATCTCTCACTTTCATCTCTCAAGCAAAACCATATCCCATAGAAACAGCATCAGCTAAAGCAGGACATTGGTAAAAGAGTGGGGCACGGATGCGAATCATGTAACCAACACCACCCAAAGGGGGGTCTACCCAAAGAATTGGAAGGTCAGCTTGGTGTTAATGCATGTCGGTCTGCCTGCCATCCATGCAGGCTGGTCAACTTGGCGTGTACTATGTAGACTGTGCCCTGAGTTTGGTGCAAATATGTCTAATGATGTGCTAGCTCAATGCTTTCTGGAAGCTCTCCACTAGCATTCACTTGCTCACTCATCTCCTTATCTTCCTACTAGCAGGCAGAAGCTCCTGGTATGTAGTCCGGGACAGAGATAAGGTGGATGTAGTGAATGTGGAAGAAAGAGGACATGACCGAGTGTCAGAGAGATCACAGCTGCAAGAGCGTTTGCACAGTCAGCTTTACCTTAACTAATTTCATTGTCCGCCAGTTCACAAGTTTGAGCAAGGCCTTCTTAACCTCCAATAAACATCTTCGGTAAGGTGCTGCAGAATATGTTGGTGCTATATAAATGCTAATAATAGTTGTACAGGAGTCTTAGAGGGCAGTGTAGTCTGTTGATTTTTGCCTTGTTAGAGAAGTAGATGAGAGAATAGTGCATATTTTGTGTGATGCCTTGCTGAGCTAGTGGAACTATGCTATGAGGGTCCCGTTCACTATTTGCAGGATCTGCTGGTCATAACCTAGCTCTGAAAGGGTCTCATTCTGTAAAGTATTAGCTGTTTAATGTCTTTCCAGAGCCTTTATGCTTAGTTAGAGGACTATCCAGATCTTGGGTGTCAAGCAACTACTATGATGTATGCAAAATTCAATAACCCTAATGGCATTTAAATTATTTGACTGTGAGTGAGAGTCCAAGTGAATTAAGGAGGAAGGTGCTGGAGGCTGGAGGCTGCCGGCGGCCAGAGGGAGCACTGCAGGGAGGCAACTTTCTGTGCCTCTCCTGCTCTACCCTGCCCTCATACTGCACTCCGCAGACTCAAGCAGCTGACCTCACCAACAGGAAGAGACTGGAAAGTGGGAATTTTACCTTCAGTGCTCCCACAACATTTAGTGTCAGGTAGGTTTATTCAGCAACACATGACTGACAGTGAGTGAGCTTGTCTATAGTGGGCATCGCAAAGAGTAGACTGCGGTCCAGACTGACTAGCGCAAACCTGGAAAAGCAGTTGCGAGTAGCAACATCATCAATACCAGCTAACATCACATGCCTCAACAAAGAGAAGCAGTTCCAGCCATCACATTAGGGGCATCATATTAGGGGTGAGTAAATTAAATGCTTGACCAAATATAGCAGGCTCATTTTTAAGTTCATACTTTTGTATGGCCCGCGAATATTGTTAAAAGTATCCAAATGGCCCTTGGAAGAAAAAATGTTCCCCACCCCTGCCCTAAAGGAACTACATAGGGTCAGGAATATATATTTTATAATGTTAAAAACACTATTTAGCCCTCCCTATGCTGCAAAATAGTGCTAAAACTCTTAATTCCAGCTCCCCACAGGTCTACCACTACTGGTCCCGCCCCCATCTCCCTTCTTGTCTGACATCATCAGAAATGATTATCTCAGCCAAGCCAATGCTTTCCCATTGGAAAGCATTGGATTAGCAGAGGTAGTCAATTCTGATGATCTCAGCCAAGGAGGCAGGGTGGGGGCAGAGCCAAACACAGCCCTGATCATTCAGCATCTCTTCCTATAGATGCATTGGATCAATGCATCTCTATGGGGGAAGTTCAGTGTCTCTATGCAGAGCATGGAGATGCTAAATGTCAGTGCTGCAGACCAAGGAAGCATCTCTAATGGCCATCTGAGTGATTGCCACTAGAGGTGTTCCTTGGGAGCAATGTAAACAATGCCTTTTCTATGAAAAGGCAGTGTTAACAGCAGAAAGCCTTCAGAGACTGACCATACTCACCAGAAAGACTACATAAATTTGGCCTAAGTAATCTTTCTGCGTTTAATGAATCTAAATGCATAATACTGATAGATTTCTGAGTCAAATAGGAAAGCAGTGTTAACGAATAGTTTCTGCAGTTTGGGATTTTTTGTGGATTGTGTGTTGTTGATCAGACCATGTATATTTGCCTTAATAAGATTTCCAAATGATTACATTTAGTTAGAAAGGTTTCCAATTGATTTTATTTACAGAAATCTCTACTAAAGTCTGAGAGTTTTTGTAAATAAAGCAGTTGGATTTTTTTCTAACAGTATTCAATCATCATTTAGAAAGCCTTTTAAACCAAGGCCTTGGGCCTCCATTTAATATTGTTGGACTAGCTTTTCAAATGTTTTTTTGTATAATAAATTTTATTGATTTTGTAGTGTTATAGACAGACTGACAGGGACAAGTGTGGGAATGGTCACAGTACAGGAGTGTATCACACTTCATGAGTAGCATACATCTCTAGCTTAACATTGAGGAACCATAATACATAGATATAACTTGAGATCATAAGACAATGGCCTGCAGCTGTAGTCAGCATTGTCCAGTCGATTAGTTTCTGTATCCAGATATAACCTATCAATACAAATCGTAAATTGGGGGGAGGGGTGGGTGGGAGGAGAAACAAGAGGAGGGGAGGGGGATAAGGGGGAGATCGGCTGTGTTTTGGGTATTTATTCTACCTTGGAGTCCGTTCCTAACTATGTGCTCTGTTGGGTTGATCGCCACCAATCGTCCCATTTTTGCCATGCCTCTGGCCAAACCCTGCTGGCGGTTCTCATCCGCCGTGCTGCGGTTTCGTAAGATTTGGTGGTTTCCACCAGTGTTAAGCATTGGTCAATGGTTGGTGGGTGTTCGTTGAGCCACAGTCTGCTTATGGACAGTAAGGCTGTGATAATGATGTGATATATGAGATATTGGTCTGTTTTTCGTAGATCTTGGGGTGTTGCTAATAGAAGGTAGGTTTCTGGGGAGAACGGCAGAGCCACACCCGTGGCCCCGGCTATTGCCTTCGAGACATTGCCCCAGAAGGACTTGAGTTTTGGGCAGGTCCACCAGATGTGGAGCATTGTTCCCTTCTCTTTTAAGCATCGCCAGCATAGATCTGACTTCTGTTTATCAAATTTGTGTAGCCTAGTGGGCACCATGTACCAACGGTACAACACCTTCCTGCTGATCTCTATGTGGGATGTGTTTAATGTCAGGTGTTTAAAGGCCGGCAACAGCCGGGACCATGTTTCGTTAGATATATCAAGGTTTAACTCTTTCTCCCAGGCCTTTATAAAGCTAAAAGCTTTTGGTGGTTCCTTGGGGCTGGATAATTTATATAGGAGAGACAGTAGTTTTTGTGGTGGTTTCGGGGCTATGCAGATTTTTTCTATTTCAGTCAGCGTGTGAATTTGTTGAGGTGCCTTATTGGTACCAACGTGATGTTTCGCCCACGATTGTAATTGTAGATAAGTAAAGTAGGCTTTGGGGGGCAGGTCAAACGTTTTGGATAGTAAGTTGTAGTCTATTATGTGGCCATCTAATATTATCTGAGATAAACATTTAACCCCACTGTTGTGCCATAGACCGTAGTCAAATCCGGGTATGAGGATATGAAGCGCTGGAGTTTGTAGTGCTGGGGAGATATATGAGGCCGGGTAGCAGTCTTTAATGTGTTTGTCCCATACTGAGAGTGTCGCAGACGTAGTGGGGCATATGTTCTGACATCTTGGTCTTTTGTGTTTGGGGATCCAGGCTAGGGTGGACAGTGCTATCCCGCCAGTGTGTGCCATTTCTATGTGATGCCACGATGGTATTGTTGCATGGTGGAATGTTGTTATGAGAGTACCCATCAGGGCCGCTGTGTAATATTTCCTGATGTTTGGAGCCCCCATCCCACCCTCCTTGAATGGCCTATACATGGTAGCAGCCGCCACTCTGGGTCGTGTCTTCCCCCCATATGAACCCATTCAGTGCGCTTTGAGCTTCCTTAAAAAAGCGTTGTGGTATGTGTATTTGGAGTGTTCGGAATAAGTACTGTAGCTTTGGTAGTATCATCATTTTTGCTGCCGCTATTCTCCCCGGGCATGAGATGTATTTCCCTTTCCAGCTATGCATCTGTTGTTTAATAGCAGCAAGTAACTTTAGATAGTTTGCTTTATACATCTTCTTTATTGTGGGTGTGAGGTGGATCCCTAGAAATGTCAGGTGGTCCTTTCTCCAGTCATATGTATGTTCGTTCTTCAGTTTAATGAGTTGGTTTGTGGTGAGATTAAGGCCCATGGCCTGTGTTTTATTGATATTAAGTTTATAATAGGAGCATTCACTGAATTTCGTCAGTATTTTTTGGAGATGCGGCAATGTGGTGTCGGGTCTAGATAGGGTGAGCATTACATCATCCGTGAATAGGGTGATCTTATGTGTTTTCCCCCCTATTGTGATCCCCGCGATTTCATTGGAGTCTCTTATATGTTGCGCTAGGGGTTCTAACGCCAGAATGTAAAGCAGTGGGGAAAGTCATCCTTGCCTGGACCCATTAGAGACATGGAATAACTTGGAGGTGAAGCCTCCGTTCGTTATCTTCGCTGCCGGGTTATTATATAGTGCTGCAACCAGCGTAATGAAACTATTTGGGAAGGCAAACTTCCTCAGTACAGCTTCTAGATATCCCCAGTGCAGCCTGTCAAACGCTTTCTCTGCGTCTAGTGACAGTGCCACACTGGGTTCCTCTGTTGTCTGGATCCTGTGGACGATGTTGATCAGTTTCCTGGTCCCATCTGATCCCTGCCTGCCCCGGACAAAGCCCACCTGGTCATCTCGGATTAGTGTGGGGAGGATGCTTCCCAATCTATTGGCATATATTTTTGCCAGTATTTTTAAGTCCGTGTTTAGGAGTGATATCGGCCGCAGATTCTGGCATTTGTGTGGTGGTTTCCCAGGTTTCGGTAGTGTTGTTATGTGGGCTAGCAGCATCTCTTGCGGTATTTCCCCTGTCTTAAGTATAGTATTGTAAAGTTTTTCTAGTGTAGGGGTTAGGATGTGTGAGAAGGCCTTATAATACAAGTTTGTGAAACCATCTGGGCCAGGAGATTTCCCCTTTGGGAGAGCTTTGATTGTGTGTGTTATTTCGGTCTGGGTAATGGGTTTGTCCAGGAAGGTTCGGTCCCCCTGTGTGAGTTGCCCTGTGTGGACTTCCGCTAGGAAGGTGTTAATGTCCGAAGCGAGTGGTTGGTGTGTGTTGTCATCTCTTCTTAGATTGTATAACTTGTCATAGTAGTCTGCTAACATGTCATTGATATCATGGGGGTTGTACACCTTATTCCCTAGTGAGTTGAAAAGGAACGGTATTTTCGCGTTTTGTCGTTTCTGCCGCAGAAGTGCTGCTAAGGCCTTCCCTGCTCTGTTCCCTTGAGTGTATGTTGTAAGTTTGAGCCTATGTGCTATAGTGGCAGTGGTACGTTGGTGGATGTCATTCAACTGTTCCCTAAGTTGATCTATGCGCTGTTGCTTGGACGTGGTGGGGTTAAGAGTGTGTGTGGAAGTTTCATCCCTAAGCGATCTCATAAGAGTTACATATTCCTTCTTTGCTTGCCTATTTAGATGGGATGCCTGACTGATCATGAGGCCACGTATAAATGCTTTATGCGCCAGCCACGTTGTGGCCAAGGGGACATCAGGTGTGTCATTTATCGAGAAGAACGAAGTGATTTCTTCGGTAAGTTTAGCTTTGAAGTCTGAGCTGTGTAGGAGTGCTTCGTTCATGCGCCAGGGTGTAGATCCCCGTGTTTGAAATTGGTCTTTTAGGGTTAACATTACTGGGCTATGATCGGACCAGACTATATCTCCTATCTCACTACTTATAACGTTCGGCAATACGTCACCCGTGACGAATATAAAATCAATTCTAGAATATGTTTTGTGTACTGGGGAATAGAATGTGAATTCTCTGTCGTTCGGGTGTTGTGCTCTCCACACGTCATACAGATTGTGTTCCAAAAGAAGTTTTACCAGTGCTGTCGCCTGTTTGCCCAGTGCTTTACATCTTGGGGACTCGGTTGGCTGTGTGGTGTCCAGTCTGGGCTGCATTATATGGTTCAGGTCTCCACAGAGGATTGTGGAGGAGGGGTAGGTCGTGGGAATTTTGTGTAGGACCTTTTGTAGGAAATTTCTCTGCTCGTTATTGGGGCTGTATACCCCCACTAGCGTGTATAGGGCATTGTGGATTTTGCAGTGTATTATGAGATATCTACCCTGTGTATCTTTTTTGAGGCTCAAGAGCTCAAATGTAACTGATGCATGTATGAGGAAGGATACGCCTCTAGATTTAGATGAGTAGGTGGAATGGTATTGCGTGGGGTAATCCCTACTCGCGAAGGTAGGTACTCTGTTGTGTACAAAATGCGTCTCTTGTATGCACAGTATGTCTGATTTAGTACTTTTTGCGTCTTCAATTAGGAGTCTCCTTTTGTGTGGTGTGTTTAAGCCACGAGTGTTGATAGTATGTATCTTCATAGTGTGTGTTTAGGTTTGCAACTGCGCTGTGCTGTATATTGTAGCACCTGGTCTTCCCTTCTCTCGTGTTGATTAGAGGGACAGTGTGACGACAGTTGTAGCATAGGGAGTGGGCTAGGACCTGCCCTATTTTTGTGGCGTAGTGTGAGGGCGAACGCGCGGTGATGCCAGTTAGGGTGTTTATCGGGCCTCCTGGAGGCTTTTAGCCGATCATGGGTATCTCTGGGTGGGGGAGGGAAACTTGGGGAAGGGATTTTAACTATATACAAGACGTCTCTCGTGGAGACGGTGTGTGGTGTTACCACATCTGGGGAATCGAAGAGAGAGTTCTCTTCCATTAACATGGCTATTGGGCACCTATGTTGCAGTAATGTGCTGCATCTTTAGTGAAGTAGGTACGCCTAGGCCCATGGTATGGAGCCTGGCATAGTCAGCACTGGGGTCGGCCGGGGGTCCAACAGCATGGGTCATGCCTGCCGGTGTGCCGGGGGCACGCACCCCGCCCCCACCTGTGGGGCAGGCGCATGCACACGGCCCAGCAGCCTGCATTGCATACATTTCAATATAGACAAGTAAGTAAGACAGTTAATTAAGACAATTTTCCCAGCAAGACTAGTATGTTCCCCTTCGGTAACCCTCCCCCCCTCACCCTCTCCACCCCATCCCCCCACAGTCCCCCGGGATCCCCGCAATACACACATACAGAGAACCAGCGGGATCATGCCCCCGTTACCTTGTGATGTCTCTTTTTTTTTTTTTTTGAGTCTATCCCCCAGCACGGGTCGGTTTTGCAATGCGGTTCTCAGTCGTGCTTGGGGTTTCGGCTTGTGTGAGCGGGTGCCAAGTCATTTGCGCAGTGTGTATGCTTCTGTCCAGGCCATAAGGTCCGGGTGGAGCTTAGTCCCAGGGTTGGCGGGGAGGACCTCGGAGGAGGAGAAGGGAGATATCGGCCTGGGCCAGAGAGCCAGACCCAGGTCCCCCGCAGGCGACCACTGCTCTGCTTGCGCCTCGTCACAGGGATGGCGGGAGACCCCGGTCCAGCCCAGCCCGTCCCAGGGGATTCCCCCAGGAAGCCAGCTTCAGCGTCAAACTGTCGGGGTCGAGATAGGAGGGAGATCAACGGGTCGTCTCCAAACTTTAAAGTTCAGTCATTTTGTACGGGGAAGCCAGTACTCGTAACCAGTATCAGTTGGTTTTAGTGTTTCCTTTGAGCCTTTTTCCAATCTTGTCTGAGTGTGCCTGCTTGGCTCCACCGGCATGTTCCAAGCATGCAACGTCTTCACGCCATCCTCAGGGGTGCCTATCACCGACACGCTGCCATCCTTCGTGACTAGCAATTTTGTGGGGAAGCCCCATCTGTAGCGGATTCCGTGGGACCTCAGCGTGGCTGTGACTTGTGAGAATTCCTTCCGTTTTCGCAAGGTGGCGGCTGACAGATCCGCGTATATCCGAACGGTGGGGTAGTCAGCTAGTGGCTCGGCCTTCAATCTACTGCTGCGGAGGATGTGCTCCTTTATGTGAAAGTAGTGGGCGCGGAGCAATATATCTCTCGGTACCGTCCACGGGAGGTGCCGGGGTTTTGGGATTCGATGCACTCTGTCTACTAGCAGCATGTCCGTGGGTATCTCCGGTGAGTAAGCATGCAATAGGTTCCGTACATACGCCTGTAGGTCGTCGGTAGAGACATCCTCGGGCACCCCTCGCAGGCGTAGATTATTTCGGCGGGAGCGATCCTCCAGGTCAGCCAATTTGTCTTCTAATTTGGTGATTTCAGTTGCCATACGTTCCACAGTAGTGGCTAGATCATTGTGGGCTGTGGCGAATTCGTCACATTTATCCTCCATAAGGGATGTTCGCTTACCCAGCTCTTGGATGTCCTTACGCATAGAGTCTGCTGTGTGTTGCCACGTGGTGATAAGTTTGTTAGACATAATCTCCATGGCTGCATTAAGATCAGCTTTCATTATTTGTGTTGTGTCCGATTGTGTTCCTGGGACGCTGGTGGGCATACCGTCGTCTGATTCAGGGTCTACGGACTCTGTTGAGGCCTGCGTTGCCAAAGTCGCAGGGGTTTGTTTGTGGCCAAAAAAATTTAGCTTGTCCGGTTTTGCCGAGCTCCTCTTGGTTTTGTGGTGGGACATTGCTGTATTATAGTGTCAGATGCAGCTTTAGGCTCTATGATTGCAATGGATTAGGTGCCCAGGTGCCGGAGCAAGTTTTCATGCGGCCATCTTGCTCCGTGGTTAGCCACGCCCCCCCTTTTCAAATGTTTTAATATTTTTGGATAAACTTTTAAAATAATTTTATTCAAAATAATCATTGAAATATTTTTTCTTAATATTAAATCATTTTAATAGTTTATTCAAAAATATTAATGCTCATTCAACATTATTAAATTGCGGCCTTAGCTGCGGTGGTTCAAGTCTGGTTGCTAGTCATGAACTGAGTTTGGTCAAAGCTCACTAGGTTTACAAAAAATTCAGGAACCTCAAATTCGAGATTTTTTTTGATATATTTTAATTTGTTTAGCATGTTTTAAAATGCATTGAAAAGAAAAATGTATTCTTTATTTCATTAATAGAATTATTAATTACGCATGGCGATTTGCTGCATACATTTTCAGAGTATACATTTCTATTATCATTCTGTTTGACTTTATTTATTTTTTTGTAGCCTGTATGTTCAGTTCATTTTCAAGAGTTTCTAAACCAACTCCGGTATATCAGAATGGGTGAATTGTAGCTTTCATGCCTCGAAGAGCCCAACGTGAGCTGGGTACATTTTCTTTGTGAATCTCTAGATTGAAGATTGGGTCTCTTGCAGATGTTGAGGAACAATAGACAGGACACCAGTAAGTGTCAAGTACTTTGGGGATATCATTAGTTCCATATTTTTCAGCACTGGGTATACATTGCAGATGAATGACGGGTAGAGCACTGAGACTCTGCTTAGGGGCAGAATCCAAGATATCTGCATCAGTTTTGTTCCAGAGTACTCCCCAGAGATGGACTCCATATACAAACATACCTTCATGTGGGGGATCTCGTATCTAAGAAAATAGACATATTAGTAATTATATACCAAAAATATTGTGCAAAACAATATAGATGCATGGATTACCCCCCTGTCTTGCTTCCATTTCTACAAGTTTTGTCAAATCCAATAATAGTTCACTGTATAATCAGCACATATTCTCTAAAGTGTGGTTTAATTATTTAATCCCCCATCTGAAAACATAGCTGACTTTGAGAAAAAAAATTTGGGGTGTAATGGGGGGCTTCCATTCAGTGTTACACCGTTTTTCATGTTCTAATGATATAGGCTGAATCACAGGGCCCATTCCTTGAAAGAATGAGTATGGCTTCAAGTAAGTGTGTAATCTTCTGCCTTTGCCTTATCTCTAGCAGGGGCTGTGTGTGGCCAGGGACCCTTATTTTTTTATTTTTTCAAACTGCTTGAGAATGGTTTAAAACTAAATGGAGGGACAGCGCCAGAAGACTCCAAGAATTATAACCGATTTCATTAGATGAAATTGTTATTGTTCTTTCAGTATCCCTTTAAACTTGCTCAGATTAGACATACTGGAGACACTGTATAAAGGTATTCACACATAGTATTTTTTTTGTTTAGATTTCCAATTAGAGATAGTATTTCTTTTAAACCCATTCAAAATGCAAATCTTTTTTCACATGTTTAAATGATACATAAGTTACTATCTGTACATACATGTTCTTTGTCTCTCTGTGTAATTTCTGTTTTAAACTGCATAGGTTCTGCGTTTCCAGTTCTTGCTGAGTATTTCCGGATAGCTTCTTGTTTTAATACCGAAAACAGACCTTTTGGGTTTCTAAATGCACCAAGCCAGTATGTTGGCATCTTTTCTCGACCCTGTTGAATGAGAAGTACTTTTAATATGTGGATATGGGTAGTGTCTAAAGCATCTGTAAATACATTTTATAAAATAAAAATCACAAGTTTACTATCTACTTTTATGACAATAAATAATCCAAAAGCCTATTATATCCAGTGCTAACATCTGTTCACTTTGATCTAATTCTGTTTTTGATTTTGTTTTCTTTGCTTAAAGGAACTCCTAAACCACTTAAACCTTCTGAAATATTCTATGTATAATTTTACAAAAGTGCAGGTTGTATCAGAAATATGCACTTTTAAAAATAAATTATTTTAGTAGATATACCTAAAATGCCAAATGGTAGGCATTCATAGTGTAATATACAGTAATGGGAAAAAGAAAGCACACTCTCTTTGAATTCTATGGTTTTACAAGTCAGGACATAATAACAGCCATCTGTCCTTTAACAGGTCTTAATATTAAGTAAATACTAGACATGTGCAATTAGTTTCGTTCTGAATGTACATTCGAATTGCCAAAGTTCCGAAATGGGTTAGGGTTTAGTGTTGGGTGTTAGGGTGCGAATTACTGAAGTTCCGAATTGTCAAATTGCCGAAGTCTCGAATTTCGGAAGTGCCGAACCGAATGCCATTGGTCAGAATTGCTGAAGCAGACAAATATGTTTTCTTACCCAAATTTACAAACTAAACCAATTTTTTTGCCCATGCACATTCCTAGTATATACAACCTCAGATGAACATGACATATTACACTGTGTCATGATTTATTTAACAAAAATAAAGTCAAAATGGAGAAGCCATGTGTGAAAATCAAACAAAAGCAATTGAAATAGCTCAACAAAACAAATGCTTCAAGTGGTTTCCCCAAGTTCAACTGAAAATGTAACTTATGATGATTTCTCCAGTTAACACCCTGAATAGAATCCCTCACGACAGCACAAATATGCAAAACAGGTGTTGCCTCAAGCACCAGGTGTGCTTGAGATGAAACACTTGAAATACCTGAACTGGCTAGGGGTTGAGTGTTATGTTTGGCTGCATATTAGGAACATGGCTAAGTCAAAAGAATGGTCCATAAAGTTTAGAGAAGAGATCATCACCTATTTACAATCAAGGAACAGGATACAAAAAGACTGCGATGGCACTGAATGTTCCTACAGACACCATTGGAAGCAGAGTTCACAAGTTCAAAGTTGAAGGACCAGTGGTTACACTACCCGGATGGGGCAGAATAATTAAGTTTTCAATGGCTGCAACCAGATTTCTGAGAAGGCAGGTAGTGAAAAACCCTCAAGTGACTGCAAAAGACCTGCAGCAAGACTTGGTGACAACTTTGGCAACACTGAGGTTTCAGTGAGCACAGTAAGGCAAGTCCTAAATGCAGAAAACATAGAATGTGACGGCAGATAAGGACCAATTCTCTAAATATATTTATTAGTCCCTGGCCTTATGTTATATCTAGGATAGTCTAATGCTTATCCCATGCATAGTTAAACTCCTTCACTGTGTTAACGTCTACCACCAGTGGCGTACACACAACCCATGGGGCCCAGTGCGAAAACTGATCCGTGGGGGCCCCCCCGCGCGCTTACACTGCGCGAGCTGCCGCCGCAACACATGGCTGCGGGCACCTGGTCGCAGGGCTGCGACCGTGGTATGTACGCAAGTGCATGCAGATGCACATACACATAAAGGACCACTACAGACACCCAGATCAAATCAGCTCAATGAAGTGGTCTGGGTGCCAGGTCCCTCTAGTTTTAACCCTGCAGCTGAAAACATGTTTCACTGAGGGTTAATCCAGCCTCTAGTGGCTGTCTCATTGACAGCCGCTAGAGGAGCTTCTGTGATTCTCACTGTGAAAATCACAGTGCGAAGACACTGAACATCCATATGAAAGCATTGAGTAATGCTTTCCTATGGGCAGTTTGAATGCGCGCGCGGCTCTTGCCACGCATGCGCATTCAGAGCTGAGAGGCGGATCGGGGCGGAGAGATCCCCAGCGCCAAGGTCCGGCGCTGGAGAAAGGTAAGTGCTTAAGACACAAACACACACACTCTCACGAACAGACGCATACACACTAGCTAACAGACACACACATTTACTGACAGGCACACACTCAGTGATAGACATACATACAAACAAACTCACTGACAGACAGACACACTCACAAAACACACACTCACAGACGCACACAAACTAACACACTCAATAACAGACACACACAGTAACACTCACTGACACACTCTAACACTAACACGCACACACACACACGTTTTAAAAAAAGAAAATTTAATCCCCCCAGCCTCCCTGCCTTTGGGAGTGCTGTGGGGATTCCCTGGGGTCCAGTGGGGCTCCCCGGTGGCCTGTCCTGTGGGCTGGCTGTCTGGCAGGCGGGCTAGCGAGGGAGAACTCTCCCTCCTGTTCAGCTCCCTTGCGCGCCGCGTACTGATGCCGGAGCCGGAAGATGACATCATCTTCCGGTTTTGGCATCAGTGCAGTGCGCGAGGGAGCTGGGCAGAGAGCGCTCAGGGCAGAGTGCTCCCTTGCGCGCCCGCCTGCCAGCCAGACAGCCTGCCCGGTGACACCAGGGCCAGCCTCGGGGGGCCCTGAGGCGGCCAGCTCCTAGGTCCCCCAGGAGAAGAGGCTGGCCACACTGGCATACATACTGGGTCGCAGGGTGGCCGGGCCCCCTGGTGGGCCGGGCCTGGTCGCAGCCACTACCCCTGCGACCCTGGTATGTACGCCACTGTCTACCACCTCAGGTGGAAGTCTATTCCATGCATCCACTACCCTCTCAGTAAAGTAATACTTCCGAAAAAAAATTTTAAACCTTTGCTTTTCTAATATAATTAAAACTATGTCCTCTTGTTCTGGTAGCTTTTCTTCTTTTAACCCCTTAAGGACCAAACTTCTGGAATAAAAGGGAATCATGACATGTCACACATGTCATGTGTCCTTAAGGGGTTAGATACACTTTTCCCCTTTACTGTGTTGATTCTCGTTATGTATTTCAATGTTTCTACCATATCCCCTCCCCCCTCTTCCCTGTCTCATCTTTTCTCCAAGCTATACATGTTAAGATCCTTTAAGTTTTACCCTGCAATCCATGAACCATTTTTTTAAGTCCTTCTCTGGACACTCTCCAAATTATCATGCCAGAACTCCAAGTTGTACACCACTATTGGCCTAAATGCTCCAGTATGCCCAAAATCATATAAATAGGCCATATAGGTTTTGAGATTCTATTCTGTAAAGCAATAATAAA